GGGAGATACAAGAACTAAGGCTAACAAAATAAACAGCAGTTTTACAACATTTCACCAGGTTTACCTGGCATCATTAGGGGAGATACAAGAACTAAGGCTAACAAAATAAACAAAAGTTTTACAACATTTCACCAAGTTTACCTGGCATCATTAGGGGAGATACAAGAACGAAGGCTAACAAAATAAACAGCAGTTTTACAACATTTCACCAGGTTTACCTGGCATCATTAGGGGAGATACAAGAACGAAGGCTAACAAAATAAACAAAAGTTTTACAACATTTCACCAGGCATCATTAGGGGAGATACAAGAACGAAGGCTAACAAGTTTCACTATGTACAACTGAGAAAAAAACTTGTGGTGTGAATTCTAAATAACATAGTTTTTTCCATTATCTAAAACATTATAATTATTGTACATTAAATCATATCTCAGAAAAGTAACAAATTACATGGTTACAGACAATGCTCAAGCTGTAATACATGCCAATTTTAAAAATGTAACTGGCAGCTACATATCACGTAACATACATGTTTATAGGTATTGCTAAAGGTGTAATACATACCAGTTTTAAAATCAAGACTTAAAGATAACATGAATATAAGTAAACATACAATGAATGCCTACCACTGTGGTACAGCGTATTCAAATGTAATTAAATATTATATTAACTAAAATAAACAACATACAATCCTGTGCAAGTAGGCTGTGATACTTGTCACTGTTATAAACAACTGGGATCCAAAAGAAGGAATCTTGATTCACATTCCTGTCCTAGTGTGAATAATATTAATATATTTGGTATTCAAATATGAAATAAAGAAATGTGACTTCTTGATTTAAACATGACAAAAGTGTCATCAAAATGCTTCCTGCAATGAAGTGGATCAAGTGTGAGGGCATTCATCCAACTAACAATTTTCATGAAAACAAGAATGAGTTGACCACTGTTAATTCTAACTCTGAGGCCATGCTAACACCAACCTGATAATAGATTTTATCAATTAAACTAAAATGATTTTTTTCATAACAAAATAAGTAAATTTACAAAAAGTACATTTTGTTAAGCTATTAACAACATCAGAAGAACCACAACCTAACTTACTAAATAAACTAGTTTTTGTAAATTTAAGTTAGTATGTAATGTTTCAATATCACAATTAGCTGTAAAGATGTCTTGATAAAAATTTAAAATATTTAAATCATTTGAGTATTTTAAGCTATCTTTCACTGTATATTCAATTTTTATGAATGGTTCAAGAAACTGTATTTGAATAATCATACAACCTATGACTGTAGATACTTGTGGTGGGCACAGCACAGGTAGCCTACTGTGTAACTTTATGCTTAATAACAAACAAGGTACCTAAATCAGAAACTGTTGGTTTTACTGGACAACCTTCTGTGTGTATTTTTGATAATTTTGAAAAATTCCTGCAAGTAATCAAAGAGATCTAATCTGTTTATATTTGCTTTCACCTCAAATTTACTTTTAATTTAAGTAAATAACCCTGTAACTTAGTCTCTCTAGTACTAGTTGGGGTATTTATTTAGCTTCATGAATTTGTTATTATCTTCTAAAATTCTCTAAAGTTAACATTTTCCTAAACTGAAAACGTATTTCCGTATAGATACTCATCTCCTCTCACAAAAAGCTAGAATCCCACACTGAACTGGTGGAAAGATGATCTTCCTCTAAAAAGCACTTAAAGACCATGTGGTGTGGAAAAGGAATCAGAAACATCACACCAGTGGGAGGCCATACCAATTCTGAGCCAGGTAAACCCTTCACCTTTGAGTAAAGTGTCGCTAAAACTAAAGGGCGGAAACATGGATGAACCAAACATTTAATCATTAATGGGACCCCTAGTTGTCGAGCAGCTTGGCACAACAGACTGTAAAAGGGAGTTTGACCTCAACCAACACCTGGCAGCATCTGGAATTGAACATCAGGTCCACGGTAGGGAAAGAGTCCTCTACCTTTCACCTTTAAACTGGGTACTGGAAGGGAAGATGAGCTTTTATACCAAGAACCCATCTCCAGCAGATGGTCAAAAGTAAGGAGAGCTCAGAAGGCATTCATCTCCAGCCCAAAACCTGGCAGCACTGGGAACCCAGTCTTATACATGCAGGAATTCATGTGTTTCTTCCAGCTTCAACTAACACCAGATCCATCAGATGGTATGAAGATGACCTCAATTTGGGGTTGCATCTCCAGTCCAAAAACAGGTGGCATTGGGAATTTATTGTCCAGTCTTTGGTAGGAGGAGGGTACCAGCCAAACACATATGATGACTTTTGTGGCTGGATCATCTCCAACCAGGAACCGATGGAAGGAAGAGGAATATCTCAGCTGGAGGGGCAAACTGCAATACATAGATATATAATGGAGTGCTACAACCAACACCATGTCTATTATACGAAGGATGTCACGCCATCGACACTAGCAGTATGCAACCGCTCTACTCTCAACCGAGTTGAATTGTGCTTTACTCAGGAGGATTAGCCCCAAGGTCAACCACCCCAGTGGCTAGGACTCCCATACACCACTATAAGAAATGGGGAACAAAATGCATTGGAGAGTCCAAAGGCCTGCAGCTCTGGAGAAGTGCAATGGTGGCCATGATACCTTATTTTGAAAAACAGAGCTACCACACGAATAGAGTTGATCAATCAACACCTAGCAGCATTTGGAATTGTATATCAGGTCCGCAGTAGGAAGAAACTCAATGCCATGGAGCATCAGAGAAGGGCAGTGATCAGTTTCTGTATTACCCATGAAATTCATGAGTGTACAGACCGGGATGAACATATTTAAGAAGCAAAAGTCATATGACATATATCTACAATTGGTCCCGTAGAACACCCCATCTCAATGGTGTGCTTAACATGATTCTGTGACATGTTATATTTTCAAGTATAATATGCGATATTGATGCAAAGATTATAATCGGACGGGGTCAAACAACCAACACCTGGTGCTATCTGGAATTGTACATTAAGTCTGCAGTAGGAAGCACCTCAGTATTATAGTCATGTAGCATGGCCACAGGATATATGTTGCGGATTTGATACAAAATATATCTGGTTAGGCACAACTCGACACAGAGCAGGATCCAAAACATATGTGACAAAAGGCTCCTGTAAAGAAATTAAAAACAAATGGAGTAGCCCATATACTCACCCTGATGATGTCCCCCTCAGGTAAGATGAAAAAAAAAGCAGCCAAGGACATGGTAAGGTGACAGATCTGATATGAAAAAACATGAAACAGATGACAAACATCCAGAGAAAAGGAAGAATACACCAGGTGAAGTGACTGGTAAATGCAACCAGTAAGGGGAGTGGGAGGCAAAAAAATCATGGGAAAGGGTAGGATTCCAGTGAAGAAATAAATTGACCAGAGAACTGCCAAATAACACAGTGCATGTGTTAGAAATCCCAAGGTCCTAGCCGGGTAAAGGAGACAGACAGGAGCAGAACTTAAAGGTGGGAGAAGAAGGTAATGGAAAGAGGAGTGAAAACATAATTAATCTCCAGAGCACCCAAAATTGAGTGCATAAAGGAAAGGAATTATGGAACAAATATAGCAAAACCTGATAACAAAACACATTGGAAAAACGGTGACTACTGGCTAACAATATGAGGAATTGGGACCGCAAATAAAGTAAAATAATGAATCTACCGACAAAGGTTAAAATGGAGGATTATAAAAAGCACAAAGAACAACATGGAGGTTCCAAACCCTGGTGAGAAGCCAAGCGGAGAGTATGAGCAATGGAGAATGAACGAAATAACATAGCCAGGAAATGTGAATGTAACACAAAAGCAAAACCAGTAAACTGAAAATGGAAGACAAAAACTGCCCGAAAGCCCTCAACAGGGGAAACAGATAGGTCCCCATTAGCAGGTGAAGTGAAAAAAGATGGAATGAGAAATTGGAATAATGAAAGGACAATAACCTAGGTGTATAGATCAACAGTGTGATGTGTATTAACAACTCCAAGAAACCATCAAAGGGGAAGAACTAACTGTATGGCAAAACCAAATAAGCTATATGCCTGGAAAGATCCAACCTTTGATCAAAGAACAAAATAAAAGCCATGCCTGAAGAGAGAATGGAGGGACACTGCACACCAAAGTGTGGCCAATGAAGGCAGATAAAGGGGAAACACCATCAAAAACCATTACAGAAATGGAAACCATGTGAGAGTGTCAAGACAGAGCCAACAGCTGAATTCAACGTTGAGAGGTCTGAATTATTGAGAGGATATGAAGAGGTCGACATGTATAAGGAAAGTGACTTGTCCAATCCCAACAGAGAGCATCCACTGCACCCATCAAGAATGAGGAACAGGAGACCAAAAAAATGAGTAAGGTGTGTATTGAGATGAGATGCAAAAATATCCAAATCAGGGACACTAAAGCACACACTACACCCAAAAGAGTAGAGGATCCAAAGACTAATCCGTTGGGTGAATCTTGTCAGGTATGGATAACTGATCCTCGACTAGATTCATGGCCTCTTGACAATGACATGCCAACAAACCGATATAATGACAGTGAGCCCATAATACAGAAGATCAAAAGTTTGAAAACAAGGAACACTCAGCCAGATGCCGCCATGCATGGTGTTTTAGGACCCTACCGTAGAATTGTTGGAGTGAAACATCACTACCTTGTTCGAAAGAGCCAGTGAGAAGGAAGGTATTGTCTGATGAACAGCAAGAAGTTTCAAGAGAGTGGAGTCGAAAATAGTTCCCCATCCCCCAAATCTCCCAAGTGTTGAGAAATGCTCCCCAAATGGAAAAAGTGACAATCCAGATGAGGAGAAGGAAGAGGAACCCCAGCCGCAATAGTGGTCCAATTCAATCAACAGTTAATATAGACTGTTAGTAAGGGGAGAAGTAAGAGGAGCATCCAAGTGAACCCAAACAAGACAACATTTGGTGATCCAAAACTCACAGAGGATGGCACAACCAAGAGTAACTACGGCTGTGAGAGAAGCTGGACCTAAAAGATGTACCAGATCTCTAAACTGAAGGGGAGAAGGTTTGTTCCAACCAAAAATTGAGATGAAAAACACACCAAGAAAACTAGAAATTGATCAGATGTAATGAATGAAATCCCCACCATAATGAACCAACCCACATGGGGAACTTTCCAAAGAAGAAACTGAGTATGGAGGGCATATATGACCAGTGAGAAAGCTATAATTATCCAACCATCCCTGGAAAAGTGTGCACTAGGCTAAGAAAATGAAGCAGACGAGCACAGCTCTAGACCACTTGGATGAACACAGAGAGAGCAGAGGCATGACCAAACATAAACACCCAAAACTAAAAACACACACACATGAAGAACAAAATGAATAAATGTGTCTGGATGCCATGGAAACAGGAAAATGGAGATGTATCCAACACACCGAAAAAAAAAAAAAAAAAAAAAAAAATAAATTCTCCACGAGGGCATGGGTCAAATTCTAGGAAACAGGATACAATGACAAAAAATAACATACCTGAAGAAACTATGCCTATAAAGGGTGAAAGAGGCCCAAGTAATTTATAGCTATTATAGCTAGAAACAGAAAACAGCATAAAATCACATAGCAGTATCAGGATAAATGGCAAATAAGTTTACTTGTTTTATTCAACAAGTTTTGTTTATTGATAAGAATTTATTTGAACTTAGAATTTCTAATTCTGTGTAAGAAATCTGCTTGCAATTCTGAGTTCAACTGTAGTCATTTTAAGATTATTAGCACAGTGCAAAATGGGCAACCACTCAAGATACTAGAAAATTTTCTAATGACTCATCCAAAGCGCAAACTGATCCTAAAATTATCTGTTATTTTCTCAATTATTATTACAACTGTAATACATGAACAACCAACACAACCCTACATAGTTAGATTTGTTGAACAGGTTGTTTGTAGTCTATTTATTTGGTAAGGCAAAATAAGACACATACCTTGTATTGGTGCATTTGAACTGTCCCCACTAGCTGGGTTTAGACCAAAGGAGCTGCCACTTGCCTTGAATTCACTTTCACTGCCAGATGCAACATGCACATGGGCAGAAGAAAAAAAATCCAAGCATCTTTAAAATGAAATTTTAATTTAGTCTCTCCACATCTTAATACCCTGAAGTGATAGGATTTGTGCTCATATTAATAAAATGTATCTTGCTTAATTTCAATATCCACATTTTAAGGGACTCAGCCAAGAATTTGTGCTTAATGAGAAAGAAATCCAATGGCAAACTGACAAAATTAGAATTATAAACAAGTCTATACAATATTAATATAAAGATTTTGATATAAGTTTCACATGACTATGTTGGAAAGTTTTTATGCTGGTACTGTACTGATACATGTAAAACTTCAACAGAAGTTTGTTAACTATAGTATAAAAATTTTCAAAACAATGAGGCTGAGATTTTTTGAAAGAAGGAGCATCAATCTACCTTTTGTTTTGAGCTTGTGAATTGCTTCTATCAGGTACATTATTTTCTTTCCATGAGTATAAAAACTGCTGCATTACATTAATCATCTCCTCCAGCAATCTATGTCAAAATACAATATTCTGCTGTTATACCTGTAACTGTTATTAGTTCAATAAAGCATATTACAGGTATCTAATTTTCATCTATATCATACATATGAATTCATTAAACTACAGTATATATACACAACAAAATTCTATAAACATAGCTACAACTAGTTTCAAATTTTATAAACTCTACAGTTATCTAAACATTCTGTACGAGAATTTTGAATGACACTTGTCCTTGTTAAAATCAATTGAACTCTGGACAGTCAATTCAATCGACCTCGTAACCACCAAAAATATAATCAAAATAAACCTAAATTAACCATATTTCTTTCTAGAATGACTTCAAATTGGTAACATTATACATCTATTTGTAATTAAATTTAATTTTTATTGCCCTTTGAACCATGTATAACTACTATCCACATCATTATAAGTTGTAAATCACTCAGGGAACGTGCAGCTCATGTTACTCTATCGAATTACAATACATACGAGCTGCTTACGTGTGTGCCTCATGAACCATTTTAATTATATTATTGTTATTACATATTTTACCTAATCTAGTCTTAAGTAACTTTAAAAGATCCGTACTTTTAATTTTAGTTCCTTTTACAATAATAAATATGAAAAAAAAAATAAAGTACTTACCTAACCTTCTTTTTTCTTGCTGTCGGGTTTCGAAGAGAATTAACCCTAATTTTTTATACTATAGATAATTTTTATTTAATTAAATAATACACCAAAGAATATAGACTAATAATGTGCAAAAAATAGACAAACTCACTTAGCTCTCAAAATTTTCCTGGATTTCAAACTAGGCGACAAGAGCCATTACAAATTCATCCAAGCCAGTCATTAATTTTCCCATGAGAATGAATGTTGTATCGTGAGTGAAACTGATGATATTCTGTTCAGAATACAATGTTATACAATACGTCATTTGATAGATGAAAACCTTGACTTTCTATTGGTTATAGGTAATATATAATGAAATGTAAGAGAGAATTATCAATGAATTGTGAAAGAGAGGATGTGACAGGTGAGTGTGGCAGGAGGGGTCTGATTTTCTATTTGATAGCTCTGTAACCAAACAAAATTGAAGACTATAAAAATTATGGTTAGTCTGAGCAATAAAAATTTTTTAGAGTAATTTATGTTTAATTTTGAGATGTCATGGATAAAATAGGGATGATGACATGCTAAGACAAAATGTGTCGTGTGGGTCACACTAGTGGAAATTCAGGGTTTTTTCAAATATTGCCTTGTAGAATTAAGAACTTAAAACTTCTATACTATTAAAATGTGGATTAATAGCTAAGATTTTATGCTATTCTAATTGGTATAACATAAACAAAAAATAGTTAATAAAATTTTGAATGTAAGACACTAAAACCTTGTGTCATGCGCAGTATAGGATACCTGGGATGATGGGGTTAATCAATAACACATTATCTGTATATTGCTTTCAGGAAGAGAACATCTTTGATTCTAATTTTATTACATAATTCAGTCCATTTGAAAGCATTTTCAGCAAAAATTGCACAATAATAACTTTTACAATAATGGCCAACTCTTCCTGGACCTGGAGGATGTGTCACTGGTATCCTCAGAATTTTTCCTTATCGCACCAGAAGCATTTAACCAAATTCCATGAAACTTTATATAAACTTAGTAAATACTTAAAAAAAATAACATGGTTTAATATTTGTATCATTTTTTTTGGAAAGTGTGTAAAATTTACAAAATGTTTTGGTGAGGCACTAATCTGAAAAACATTAAAATATATCCTTTCATCTTAGAATTTCAAAATATTTTACTACTGATCTGAAAGTTCTAACTTTTTTGATATTCATCAATATATCTTTGATTATTTTATTTTGACAAATTACAGTAACCACTTCTGTCTATAAACCTTACAAAAATGATAAAAAAAAAGCAATTACAATTTATCAGTGACTCAGAACCCTACTTTTGAAAATTGCATCACAATTACCTTTATCATGTATTGTGTTGTAATGTTTGCCAACATTATTCCTAGTCCAGATTACCTTACATCTAACACAGAAAGATTGTTTTCAATAAATAATTTATTTTATTTGTATGTGCTGTTTGAATGCAATAAACTTAACAAGAATATTCAATGAAAAGGGATTTTGTCATCTGAACAGTTTGCCATTACTTACAGTATTTACTAAACTTAAATACCTAATGTCTTCACTTTATTTCTGTAACTTTCAAACATAATTCAACACAGAAGCATTATAGGAATGAAAAAAAAAAAAAAAAAATTAAAAAAGAAAAAACATTACTCAGCATTATGATCCTTTGTTCATCCCTAGAGTTGAGAAACAACAACTTATTGCTACAAATACTTTACTTATTCCATATTGGCATAAATAAGTTATAAAATGTCTTCTATCCAATCAGTTTTAGCCATTGGCTCTAGCTAGTTCCAAAGCTGAGTTTGCTTTTATTAATAATTGGTAAGATCATCTGTGATGACATCATAAAATGGTGGCAATGAAAGGCTACACCAATAAAATCATTGATAGAGAAGAAGAATGATTTGAAAACAAAAAATGTATCATTATATTTCCAAGAAATGATAGTTTTTTAGCAAATATAAACCTAAACTTTCAGATAAACAGAAAATTGCTTTAAACAAACTGATAAATATATTGTTTACAAGTTAGACCAAATTAGTGTTATAAAATGTCTATCTTAAAATATTTCTTAGTTAAAAAAAAAAAAAAGTTATATTTATAAAGCTCACAATCAAGTTAACATTATTTATATTCAGATTTCAAAATTGCAAAAAAATTTCTCTTTATAAAATATACAAATAAATGTACCTAGGCATAAAACCAATATGAAATCCTTGTAAATACTTTACAATTTATACTTTACACACAATACAGAAACTATTTGAGGAAACATGTGACTTTACCTGATTCCTTTTTCCTGTAACTTCTGCCCATGATATTTTTTAAAACTGTCCGACTGCTTCATAGAGTTGATGGTTGAGATGCCAGATGTTGATCCTTCCTCCAAGTCATCGTCTCCCTCCTCACGATGATTCTGAGCTGCTAGATTGGCTCCAAGTTCTGGGATTAAGAATAATGAACTAAAATAAATCATTTCATGTCCAAAGTTTTGGAAAGTATATATTCAATCACAAAATTTCTTTCAACAAGGATACCGTAAAATTACTAACAGGAAAAAGCACAATTCCTAGTATTTCTTAACAAATAGTGAAAATATAAAAATAAACAAATGATTCATTTCTTCTAGTTGTGCTAGCTTTTACATACACCTTATAAATTTTCAAAAACTGTAAACATGTACTGCCTTATAAGATGGAATGATATTTAAATTTTTTTTCCGTACCTGAGCAATACCTCTTGAAATTAATAACATTTAAAATATAAAAGGGAAGCTAATAATTTGTTTCTATAATTGAAATTAAAATTGTGTCAAAATATAGCAGGCTTATCTACTCACCAGGTGAAAGCACTGTTAAGGCTGCTTGAACAGAACTTCTAACTAAATTGTCTAATGCAAACATCCAGTGTGGTTTTATATTGTGACTTCTAAGTATTGACTGGACCTACATTTGAACAAAACAAAACAAAAAATTCACAAGAAAAAAAAAAAAAAATAAAAGTTTCTATCCAAACTAAAAGTTCAAATACTTTTATTGATAATGATGTATCTTAAATTAAAATTTACAAAAAAAAAGAATCAATCCATTATCTAGAACATGTTACCTTATTCTAAAGGATTAGGGAGAAATATTTCTTAACACTAAATTTGTGAATTAACCAGGCCCAGATAGGTGATAAGTCTAGAGAATGGAATAAATTTATTATAGCTGTGGATTAAGACTTTTATTCTCTATGATTAAATGTCAGTAACATTTATTACTTTTAATTTCTTTTGACTATTATTTTACATTTTCTGGCTAAAAGTCAGATGCTTTAAATCAATCCTGTTTTAAAGAATAGAAAATGAACCTAGAACACTATGGACACATCAGAAGATAGTCTTATGCCTATTATTACTTGCAACAGTAAAGTCAAAATGTTTTTCTTGTGTAATAAAAGCAGTTGATGGCAATGTGACCATTGATGGGATATCCATTGAAGTAAAAAAAAAAACAAGCATGGAAAACATTACACAAAGATGCTAAAGAGAAGTGAAATACCAAAGATTCTCTGAGACAACACAATGAACATTTCCTTTATCTTTAAGATTTTTTTTTGCAAATATCACATCCAGTCACTATCACAGAATTTTAGAATGTGGCATTTCTCAAGGGAAATTAATATTTTGTTTGAAAACAGCAACAAAATTGAGTCTTACAGAAAAGTGTTTTCAAGTGTGAAGCTGCTGCAAAGAACAATTCCACTGAAAAGTGATCACTATTGCTAAACCTTTACAGTAACTAGAGAAAAATATAAAACTGGTCGTCAAGATTTTCAGATGTTGCTTGCAGGTAAAATAATGCATCCTATTATTCAAACTGTGCAAAGTATGACAAGAAAACTACTGAAGACAAACTTTCCTTCACTGTTTCATCAGAGAATGTAGGATATCTTTCATGAGGAATAAAAAGTATTTCAGTGGATGATGTCATTGTTAAAATCCTAGTGCTTTCTTAAAGGAACTCGTGAAAAAGGATAATTGAGATGTACATGAATTTATAGTGATACTGATAAAGTGAACTTAAGAAATAAATAAGAAAAAAATAAAAATCTTGACAAAGTACAAATCATTATTCATTCATAGAATTGCTAAAAGAAGTATAAAAAAATGCTGCAATAAAAAGTACACAAACAAGTAAAGTGATACTAGTTGGATAGATTTTAAAATGAGTTAGCAATTTTAAACTACTTCATTTAGCTATATGGACCACAATGGCAACCATCACTTTACTTGTTTGTGTACTTTTTATTGCAGCATTTATTTTGTTTTGGATATTTCTTATAGTAATTCTACAAATAACCAACAAGCCCTATTTTCTGTTAAAATTCTAATTTTTTCCCCCATGTATTTGTTCAGTTTTTATAAGTCCATGGAATGGACACGACATCTATAAACTTTTAGTATAACCATATCCCTGATAGCTATAACTTTTACAAAAATTAAATCACAATCACAAATGTATAAAACTTAATCCTTACTTTGGCCTACACATAAGTGTATAAAGCTGCCAGAGATTAATTTTTTATAAATCCGTGATTGTGGTTTTAATTCTTATTTCATTAATTTTTTTAGGAAGATCATTACTTTATTTTAAAATTCATAATTTTTTAATATTCTTATTTGTTTACCTCTTATCTGTATAAAGTGTGTACTTTACTTTTAAAAACTGTCCCATGTCTATCCATTGATATGTAGCACTATCCGTTGGGTTGAAAAGAAAATGGCTTAAGTATGGGCAATCTTGTGTCACCAATTCTCAACCTCAAGATCACAAGAAAAGATACAATCCAAAACAGTAATCCACAGAAGAATCATCCATACTACACTATACATTCCCTGGGACTCAGCACATGAAACAAAACGAAAACTCAACATATTAAAAAAACAAATAAACACAGCCACAAAACTATGTTCACCCAATAAAATTAACAATGAAATCAAACAATTAAAACAACACTTCATCAACGTCTGTAAATTTCCTATAAAAACCATCAAAAAATTTACACACACACACACACCTAGGCCAATAACACAATAACAAATTCAATGAAATAACTAACTATAAAACCCTGCACTGTTGCATACCATATATTCCCAATATTAGTGATAAAATAACCAACATTTAGAAAAACTAACAAAACATAACATTCCAATAAACACTAAATTCATTCAAAAACTGGGTACAAAACTAAAATCCATACTATGTAAAAACTACACTGACAAACATAACACCAACATTATTTATAAAAAAGAATGCAACAACTGTCACAACTTCTATATTGGAGAAACAAGCCAAAAAAATGGAAAACACATTTAATGAACAGAAAAAACAAACACTTTCCCATGTTTTTGAACACTTCAAATCAAATAAACACAACATAACCATAGGAAACACCAACATATTAAGTAGAGAAACAAAGTCAAATGAACGCAAAATAAAAGAAGCCCTATTTATACAAGAACTCAAACCAAAATTGAACCAACATAAAGAAACACCTTTATACCTATATTAATTAATCACCTAACATCTAACTGCAGTGCCTCCCACAATCTCATACCCGTTCACACACTCTCGTCCCTGTCTTTGTTAACCTGACGATGACCTAAGAAGGTCGAAACGTTGTTCTTGTACTATATCCTAAAGTTTGTAATGTCCATACCAGCTGTCTCTGCTAGGTATCATATGAATTTGAAACTATTTCTTTGATGGGAAACAAGTTGGCCAAATGATAGATATAAAACTTATTTACCCACGCAACTTTAAAAAAGGAACCAATGGCTTATTTTCACATATCAGCAATGTTATGTCATTCACTTTAAATCCAATGACAAATTGTGTGGATTTAGAATATGCACAAACACTCATCAAATGGCCACACAAACCTGAAGCAGCAAAAAGTCTTGGCAGCTATTATGGGCAGATATGAATTATTACATGGGTTTGAAATCTGATAAAAAATAGCATAAATGTTGAATTTATAGAAGGGGAAGGACCTGAAAACTCAAACTACTATGAAATGAATGAAAAATAAAATTGTTTCTAAATTCAAGCAAGTAATTATTAGCATACTTGATAATATTTTCATAGATGATTGATTTCACTAATTGGGGCTTTAGCTGCTTAATTAACAAAGTTTTAGTAATGCTTTCATCATTACTTTGGATATAAGCTTGATATGAGTATTCTTTACTTCGACATTGCATGGAAAACATTAACTTAACTTTTATGGTATATTGATTATGAGTAAACTGATCCAACAATTCCTCTAAAAACCTGCTAGTTGATGATTATAAGTACCTACGTTTGACACAGTAGGTATAACTGGACAATCAACTTTATAAATCTTTGGACTGCAATATAATATACCACGATGACATCCAGAAGGTCTTAAGATATTCATCTCTTTTTTCATTTCAATAAACATATTTTCCATGGTTTTGGTAACATTGCTTTTTTATCAAACAGAATACTTTTGTGTACCTACCACTAGATGGCTAAAAATTAGTGCAGGAACATGCAAAACTATCTAGTGACAAAAAATCAAGTCATGTGTAGATGCAACATAGCATTAAAAACTGCTCATTTCAAGACTATGTCCAAAGTAACAAGAAAAGCAGTCTTCATATTAAAGAAACTTTCTTAGTTAAGTGGCTAAAACACCCAAAATTAACCTATGAAACTATTATGAACTTCGTGATAAGCATATTTCATAAGAACATTTAATCCTGAACCAAAAATGCAAACTGAATTTCCAATTGACTTACAAATGGAAACTAATAACTAATTGAATACAGCCAGGAAAAAGTTGCAATCGATTTGTGATTGTACTTGAAATATATAATATAATCAATGTCACCAAGAATAGCTGTAATTACTAATTCAATGAGTAGCTAAAACTGTAAAGGTCATCTTGCACTGAAATATCTAAATTTTTGATTAAGTTACACACAAAATAATCAATTCTCAAAAATACAAGTCAACTTTGAGAACTAGTTTGAAGTTGTATCAAAATCAGTTTTGGATTATCTAGAATAAATGATACAACAGTCAAAAGTGAAAAATCAGTATAACTAGATCAGATGGTGAGAGCATTTATCACCATATTTTGGGAATTTTACTAATTCAGGTTAAAAAAAAAAAAGCTTATACTGACAGCAGTGGTTTAAAAAACAGACATATTTTGACATCTAAGATCTACTAAAATAAATACTACTTCACAGGAATTTTTATTCATACATTAAAAGACAAAATAATAGCTGATAAGTAAATCTTTACTTACTGCTTCTTGAAACAAACATAAAGACACCTGCATCTGGTGGATAGTATTACCATCAAAGTCAATTTCTTCTTTAATGATACCTGAACAGAAAAAAAAAGAGAAAACTTAGAAAACACAAAGACACCACTATCTAATCAATGAGCAATGTGGATCTTGCTATATGCAAAGAGGTCCAACATTCAAATAAACAAAAATATCAGCACATGTGAAAACCTATTATCCAGTAAAAATCTAAATATTGTATGTAATGATTAAGGTCAACAAAAAATAAAACTAATATGAACACCAATGCAAGTAAAAATCAATTTCACCCATTCACAGTTTAAGATGTAATGTATGTAAAGTTAATGGTCAATAAAAACTCTTAAGCAAGTGAAGGTTAAGACCATCAGCAAATATGAGCTCCGAGATGGATTAAGCTGAATGGCCAACATGAACCTTAAAATGCCAGTTACAGTCTATTTACAAGTATGAAGTGTAATAAGTCAATTCAACTATTAAAAACAAATAAATAAGTAATGATTCTGACATAGGTAAATTTCAACACCGAGAATGACTTAGCCCTCTCAATACAGGTTTGGTCAAAGTGACTGAGTTTGTAACTCCAAAGTGACCATCAGTTTCCATACTATAAGTTTTAATATTGTATGTGTATCTTCAAAAAATTTGGCACACTTTCAGTAAAATTACAAGTCATTTGCACACAAAAAATCAATCTTTTAATTACTTTTAAATTTGTTTTACTAAAAATTTGTCCATCAATATATATAGATAGAATGTTGATTGCTCCAAGTGCAAAATGATTTTCATGTTAAGATTAAAAGTATTTTTCTTTATCTGAAAATTCCAAAATTTCATTTGTGTAGTCTCTAAAACCACTAAACAAATATCAATTTTTTTTCAGTAAAACTTTATATTTTATTTGTTATTTTTCTACCTAACTATAAATCCATTCAGTCAATTTAACCGACCCTGTAACCACCATAAAAATATATATGAAATAAATCAAAATTATCCTTTCTTCTTTCTGAAATGACTGCAAATTGTAACACAAGATTACATTTAAGTTTGTAACAATATAGACCTGTTTATACTTAATTTCACTGTTTTATTGCCCTTTAACCCTCTCACCCCAGGTACTCTTTACTGAGTACGACACAAGGTTTTAGTGTCTTACATTCAAAATTTTATTAAACTACTTTTTGTTTACGTTATACCAATTAGAATAGCATAAAATCTTAGCTAATAATCCAGATTTTAATAGTATACAAGTTTTAAGTTCTTAAATCAACAAGGCAATATCTAAAAATATCCCAAATTTCCACTAGTGTGACCCACGTGACACATTTTGCTTTAGCATGTCATCATCCCTATTTTATCCACCACCCCTCGAAAATGTATGAAATTAAATGTAAAATACTCTCTATAAAATCGTTATTGCTCAAACAAACCATTGTTTTTATAGCCTTCAATTTTGTTTGGTTACAGAGCTAAAACTAGAAAATCAGACCCCTCCTGCCACATCCTCTCTTTCACAATTCATTGATAATTCTCTCTTACATTTTATTATATATTACCTATAACCAATAGAAAGTCAAGGTTT